ATTTCAGAAGTAGAAAAGAAAATCTAGCACTAGTGAGACCGATCAGCAGTTAAAGTTGTGTGCTTCCTTCTGTTGACCTGTCTATCCATAAGATTCACGTCATAGAATGAGAGAACTGACTCCTTCAGATTGTCTCCTGACATCCAGATATGTGTCATGCCATGCACAGGCTCCCTCTTCCTCCTCCCTCCCCATATATAAAAGAGCTGAAAGGCTCCAAAAACAAAAATGATAAAGGTTACGATGGTGGCACATGTATTAAATATAATTATCTATTCAATAAATATGTGTGGTTGTTACATCTTCATTCAAAAGAAAAATTAAACACTGAATTTCTGTTTTAAAGAAAACCTTACTAGCAGGAAATACTTGTAGCAGGTTAGTAGAGTCATAAGCTGGCAGATGGTGGGCAGTAGTGACCTTTGACATCGATACTGCTGCTCTGCCTGGGTCTGACTCGGGAACCAAGGAACAAACACAAAGAGACTTGGAGAATTCTTTTTCCCTAGCAAAACCAGACACAGTTAAAACTCCTCATCACAAGTTCAGCAGCAGCCCTTAGCAGATAGGAATCTTTCCAAAGAGAAGGAGAGGTGCCAACAGATAGGTGCATGCGGTCCTGTGCTGGGAGGTGAATCATTCATTCCTGTGTTTTAAACACTCACACTGCACCCAGTGCAGAGCAGTGGCATTGAGTTGGGGACTCTCGGTATCAGAGAAGAGCCTGTGGAGTGAGAACACTTGATCTCATGCAGAACTGTTGGTTATGTTGAGGTTCTACAATTGAAAGAAAAATCATTATCTGTCTTCTGACAATCCAATCATATTAATATATTGAAGGGGCTCTTTGTTTAGAATTTGTGAAGCTTTCTTTCTTGCTTCATTCCCCTGAAAAATTAACAGACAGAATAGTTCTTGCACACCAGGAGGCCCCATCAGAGGGCTGGCTGTGCTCACATTCTGTCTCCTAGCAGGGCTGTGACTCATTCTGAAATGCTGCCTGGGAGCCAGTGATGAGCCTGAGGACACAGTACATTTCCTGAACTCTCATTTTTCTTGTACTTTGTATGATCTTATTTTAATTGAAAATGGATTTTTAACAGTTTTCCTAGCTATAACAGAATGGGCTGCTGTTGCCATCATCAAGGAAAATGAATGGCATATCTTGTTTTGTTTTAATTTCATTGCTTTCTGTTAAATAAGCAACAACAAAAAAAAACTAAGCTAGCTGCTTTCTGAGCATGGGAATGAGTTTAGAAGTATCTCATAAATATGCAAAGACTTGGAAACTTTCCCTTGGAAATCTTAAGCTGAGAGTACTTTTAGGAAAAGCATGACACTTGGTCAATTCCTGTGTCCCCATCTCTCTAGTATGGCTGCAGCTTTTGTGCCCATATCTTGCAGTACTCAGAACACATGTGCTGTGGCTAAACATGTCGACAACCGTAAAGTGCATCTGAGATACACTATCAAGGACTTCATCTCCTGAGGGTGTGAGTGTGTGCAAAACTTAGGGCACTGTTATTTCTATTTTACAACTGAGGTTAATTGGGACCAGAATGCAATTTCTCCCCTTTCTCCATCTTCCAGTTGATATGAATAGTCTTCAACAGGACAAGGATCAAACTTAGGTCATCAAACTTGGCAACAAGCACTCATAACTGCTGAGCCAACTAGCTGACACCGTAAGCTAATACATTTTCTCTTTTGTTCTCATGAATGTTTCATGTGCTTACGGTGGGAACTTGGAAATACTAGGTGCTCAGTAAATGGATTGGAAGGAAAAGGCTGTGTCTATACTATACAATTTTTCTCAGAGTTCAGTTTTGGGAAATAACTTAAAAGTTATTTTATCAAGCTTTAATCAGATATGCTACTTCCAACCATATGTGTGTATCTGTGTGTGTGTGTGTGTGTGTGAGAGAGAGAGAGAGAGAGAGAGAGAGAGAGAGAGAGAGCCTGAGTTTGTGGAAAGGTATTTGGAAGGCCCACAATTGTTTAACCTGAAGACATGAAGTGTCTCTGTGAACTATCATGTGTTTTCATGCACGAAGTGCCAGCCTCCAAGCCAAGAGTGTCTTTTGATTTATCATTCTGCTCTTTACAGTTGAAATGAAATTTCCAAACTTTTAAAACAGGCCAAATTGACAGGAAATCACATTAAAAATTTTTAGACTTAATTTTAGTTAAAAGAAGGTAACCCAGCATTGTTTTAAACTCTAGGTATTGGCCTCCAGCTACAAGGAGAGGCTGAGACCAGCAGACAGTAAAGGATGCTGACATGATCAATGTTCACAGCAGTTTATGTCTCCAGTGCATTGAAGATCCTATAAAAATCAGTCACTATTTTGGGAAACTCATGTCATCCAGCAATGGAAACATTGCTGAAACATTCAAATGAAGTTTATGAAAGATACAATGCCTTTATTATCCATAATTACTTATTCATTGCCATAAAATACAGAAGTTTAAAGGAATAATTGAAGTACCATGTATAAAATAGAGTTGGGAAAGTATACCATACACACATGCATACATCCTTGATTATGAATTCAATGTGGACTCCTAATACATTTCTAATGAATTAAATTCTAGTTAAGTAGAAATACTGATTAGTTAAGTATAGTGAATATTTTAAGTGCATTTGAGAAATTGACAGGAATAGTTAATAAGCATCATTCTTAAAGGGAAGGTGATATCACAACCTTCCTTGTAATACAGAATGACTAGGCACCTCCTGTAGGTTCAGACAGGCATTGTAAAGTTGACTGGTCAGTTAGAAAATTTGCATACAAGACCTGCTAAGAAGAGAAGCTGCAAAATCTTTCAGTAGTTTTCTGTCTTTCTTTCTTTCTTTCTTTCTTTCTTTCTTTCTTTCTTTCTTTCTTTCCTTCTTTCTGTCTTTTTTGGGGGGGGGGTTCAAGACAGGGTTTCTCTGTGGCTTTGGAGGCTATCCTGGAACTAGCTCTTGTAGACCAGGCTGGTCTCGAACTCACAAAGATCTGCCTGCCTCTGCCTCCTGAGTGCTGAGTGCTGGGATTAAAGGAGTGCACCACCAAGCCCCGATTTCAGTAGTTTTCTTAACAACACTTTTCTTCCCATGAAAGAGCAATGAATCAGAAGTACTCATGACAGTAGCCATTAGGGAGCTGAGCAGTGGCTTCATGGGCTGGCCTCTGCCTGTACTTCTAGAAGCAGATCTTTTGTTCCTAAAACTAAAACCTGTTTGCACATTAATCAATTCCACTCAGAGTCAAAGTCTCCTCTCATATTCAAAACCATCTCTTAACTGAGCACTCTGGAAAAATGCAAACAAGTAAGTTATATTCTCCCAACATTCAATGTCACAAAGTAGGCATTCCTATTTTTTAAAAAATGGTGGCTAGGAGGATAACAAAGGAAGATCCAACCAAGGCAAACCCAAAATCCAACAGGGAAAACACCAAACCTAGCCACTCTGTCAAACATCTGAAGTTTGCAGTGTCATGAAGTGTCTTGCAGACCAATCCCTTTGGCACCCGGAATACATGGAGCCATCCCTGGACCCTGTTCCAATCCATGACTTCCTTGGCAGATATCCAACAGTCCTGGCATCTCCAACATCCTGAGTTGTCCATTGTGACTTGGACTTGAAGTTCTGACAGGATATGCCCTCAGCTGCAGCCATTAAGAGCACTACCTGTGCCTATTCACTATGTTCCCTTTTAAAAGGGCCCTGCCCACCTCCCATCCTTCTCTCTTTCTCTCTCTCTCTCTCTCTCTCTCTCTCTCTCTCTCCCTCTCCCTCTCCCCCTCCCCCTCCCTCTCCCTCTCCCTCTCCTGCTACTCCTGCTACTCCTGTCTCTAGAGGCTGGTTTCTCCCCCTTCCATTTACCCTTTTTATGACCCTTTTCCCTAATTAAAAAAATCACTCTTCTTGAAACCTGTCACATGGTATCTTTCTCTCCAATGCCACTTTTCATAAATTACAACACTATGTAATAATTTACTTAAGTTTATCATTTATTGTATGTATTTATATAAGCTTATATGTTACTACATTAATTTGTTTGCTTATTACACATGTGTTCAAGGGATGGTCTGTACTCCACAGTGTACGTGTCAGAACATAACACTCAGGAGTCAGTTCTTGCCTTCCCCAATGTGGGTTTCATGGATCAAACTAATCTCATCAGACTTGGCTGCAAGCACTCCATCTGCTGAGCCAACTAGATGACCCCGTAAGCTAATATTTTTCTCTTTTGCTCTCGTGATTGTTTCAAGTGCTTACAATGGGAACTTGTAAGTACTATGTGCTCAGTGAACAGGTTAGAAGCAAAGAGCAATGATTACACTGCATACTGGAACTTACTTCTTTGCTCACCTGCTTATCACCAAACCAGGAACTTTTTGAAGGCAGAGACATTTGCTTTGTGGGTATTTACAGCATCTTAATACATTTCCCCTCAAACAATGGATATGTAATAAATATTTGTTAAGTATAAGGATTCATTTCTCCCCTCATCATCCCAGAGCTCTGAGGATATAAAATTATAGCATGCAAAACCAGAGGAGAAATTCAAGATTCATTGTAAACTGTGACAGCATCTTAAAGCTCCAAAGCTGGAGTCCAATATAGACCAATATGGTAAGATCTCTTATTCAGGTTTTATTCACAAGTTAAGAATTCAGGCTCAGGATAATGGCACAAAAGGCAAAGTCATTTGCTATCAAGCATGACAGACTGAGTTTGATCCTTGTAATTCACACTTGTGGAAGGAGGGAACTAATTCCTACAAGTTATCTTCTGATCTCCACATGTACTCTGTGTTGTATGCATATTCATACATGCATGAATAAATTTAAAGAAGACTCAAGACATTACTGTAGATTATATGATAGTTTTTTTTTTTACCACCTGTGATTGTATTTGAGATATTTAAGGTAGTCAATGGGAGAGCCATAGACCCTGAATGATGCACAATGCTATTTTTAACTTCTCTTTTTGTTTCCTTTCTCAGAGCTCTTCCTGCTATGATGCAGTGGGTCCGCACCCAGAAGCCAGGAGAGAGTGGCATCAATATTGTCACTGCTGATTTTGAAGAACTTGGTGATTTTATCAGCACTGTCATAAAACTCAACTATGTCTTTGATGAAGGAGAAGCTGACACTTGATATTACTCTTTGGAGCGTCCATGAGTAAGATAGAGAAGCCTCATTGTATTAGACATATTATCAACACACCCTCTGATTTTCCTATTCTACTGAGTCTCTGAAGGAATTAGGGGTGGTGGTGAGTAGAAAAAGAGGGTAAATCATGTCTTCAGTGATTGTAACCATATTCTACATTACTATAAATATGTCATTTCCCATCTGGTGAGCAAACTCTACTTCTAGTGTTAGGAATAGAAAAGAATAGTGAATTTTGTTTTTCAGAATTAATGTCTGTGATATGTAACTCATGAGTGTTTTCTTGATTGCATTTTCTAATTTCAGTCTCGGGCTCCTATACTATTCATAGCCTCTACCCTTTCCACTCCCCCTCTCTTGCTCGCTCTAATTAGATGCTATGTGGGTCTCAAAACAATTGAATGCCCAACATAATGTGTAATACATTGTTGTACTGAAATGTGTTTGTTTTGTGAGACTTGATAAAATATTTCATAGTCATCTGCAATTGGGTGATCATAGCTAATTCTTGCTCATAGAAAATATGCATCAAATCCATTTCCCTGAGTCAGTAATATTGGCAGTCATTAGTGACTTTTGTGTTCTATGAAAACAATGGTGTTCCAGAGTATTTCTGTGTGAGACAGCTATGACTATTGCACAAAAACATCTTTGGATAGACTATGAGCATCAACTCCATAGAAGAAGAAGAAGAAGAAGAAGAAGAAGAAGAAGAAGAAGAAGAAGAAGAAGAAGAAGAAGAAGAAGAAGAAGAAGACTATATACAGAGATATCTACTATCTTAATTCAGTAGTTTTAAATAATAATGTCCTGCAAATGTCAAGCTACAATTGTGTGGTAATCAGAAGAAAAATTTTAAAGCTATAAAAATTCTCTTAGCAATTTTAATATTTCTTAAAAAAACAAAAGGAAAGATCATGAGACTCTCCTATAAAATTCCAATTGCATAATTATAAAACTCATATTACAAAACATTTTAAGAAGCTTTATTTATGTTTATAACTTAGAAAGAAGAAAAAGAAGGAATGCCAAGGAAGTTAGAATAATATTTTTGAGACTATATCCATAAATTCTAAAGTTCCTTTACAAAATCTTACAATACATATGATTCCTACAGAGTCATGTACAGTCAGGGTTTCATCCTAAGCCAGGTGAGAAGGCCAAGGAGCTGAAGTCTCATGCAAAGTTTCTGTGGCATCACTTTTGGTAATCCAAGCAAAACCATGTTAACACACTTTTGAGTGCTGTATCATCCTTGTGTTTTTGTAGCATTTGACAACTCAAAAAACAATCTTCAAAGGGCATAATTCCCCTCTCTCTATGTTTCAAAGGAATAATGTGAAGTTCCTAAAATTATGAATTATTTTATCTTCACACATAGAAATAATCAAACCTCAATAGTTTCCTGGTGTGATGCATTTCAACACATATCAGACTCCTGGAAAAATAAAAGCACAGCCTTGGCTTTCAATTAATTAAAATGAAGGACATAAGAGTTAATCCCTTTAACCTAGATAAAGAGTTGATTTGAAGTTTACATTTCAATATTATAAATAGCCAAGAGTTGACTTAGACAGTAGATATTCTTTATTACAAAACAGCACTTTCTAACAACTACAGAGAGTGAATAAAAATTGTCTATACTGAATAGAATGTTCGTGAAAAATGTGGTCTCTTTTTAGAATAAGTAACATGCCTATGCATGCAGCAGATACGTTTATAATTCCAGTTTTGTGTGTGTGTGTTGACACACATACTCTGGTTCAGGCAAGCTGATACTGATACATACAAATGCACACAGATTATATGAAAACATAGGATAATTGTCGTCAAATAAAAATACTGGTATTAGTAAATAATTTAATTTAAAGATGAATCCCGGAGACAGGCATGATAGCAAATGCCCATAACCCCAGAACTTTGGAGGCAGGAGAGCAGGACCTCTTCAAGATTAGCCTTGCTATCCTTTGAGCTCAAGGCTACATAGTAAGATCCTATCTCAAAAATCTAGCCAATAAAATAAACATAACATCCTTTAGCAATGTATGAGAATGTTAGAAAACATTTGAAAATGCAGTGGTTCATCAGAAATAATATTTTTGTAAAAACATCACAGCTTGTGACTTAATATTCACAAAATACACTCTCCTTTTTCATTTTTCTATCCTCTAAATCTATTATCTGTCTATTTCACTTGATCTTCTTGCGCAAATGACCTGGAACTCTGTTTAATCGATTATTGACATTATGCCCCTTAAAATTGCTTTTGGAGTCAATTCCCTCTCTGACTACTCAACTTTGATGCCTCATGAGCATCTATAGCCAAGCACAGTTTCAATGACACAATTATATAACTTACAATATGACAAAAAAAGAGATTCTCAATCTGTTAACAAAAAAATGAATGCAATGTAGAAGTAGCTGTGTTATATTTTCTTGAATTTTGATGCTTCCCTATAGTGTTTTGCACATAGTCAACTTTGTGAAATTTGCTATGTGAGTACTGGGAGGAATAAACATATTGAAACATTAGAATGAAATTTCTTAAGTAGGACAGAGGGGGGTTTGTCTTTGTTTTGTAGGTGTTGCCTTTAATGATGTGTACACAGAACTTTGTTAGAGAGGAAGTCCTTTGAATCTGAACTTATGATTTCCATGTGGATATACAGTTGGTTCGAAGGTAGAAGGCACTGAGATAAATGGACGTGCCTTAACTTGTTAAGAAGAACTAAGACAGAAATAAGCTATGAGAGAAATCACTTAAAGGGATTTCTGGGAATGAGGAATGGAGATAAGGTACCTTTGGCTGTCTTCTGGTCATCGGCCCTGCTGTGGAGCACATGCATGGAGCAGACTTTCATAGAGAAATTATGATATGCAATCCAATCAGACCATTAGCTCTGTTTTGTCATTACAGAGCATGGGGCACAAGGGCTACACATAGACTTCAAGTGTAGCTATGTCTTAACATATTTTATGTTTTACTGGCATTTTAAGACACTATGTTATAAGTCCTACAAAGCCAAAAACAAAACTAAAAATCCAAGTTTTACTCAACCCATGGTAGTAAATCCAAAGAGTGAGAAGAATGAGGGAAAATACTCAATAAAATCATTTTTACATTTGCTTTCCTGTCAGTTAATCTGAAAGACCAATATAATGAATACTTCTGCCATTACCATTTATGTCTCCTTCTTACTACACAGTCATGTGAGCACAGAGAATGAGGAGGCATCCTTCAAAGTTTTAGGAGATTCTACATGGTAACCTCAATGTTCCCTTTCAGCCATATTGGAAAACTCACATTTCACAGAACACCTCTTAACAAAGAGTGTATCAGAGCATAAAAAATATATGGCAAGAAACCAGACACACACACACACACACACACACACACACACACTGTTGAAGTTGCACCCAATCAGCCAAACTGATTTATTTTAATTTTAACTCAATATTTTCTATGTTATCAGGCTTGAATATAGATCAAGTGTTTGAATATTTAAAGAGAGAAAAATCATTATAAAACCAACAAAATTGAAACCACCAGAAACTAGATAGACCTGGCAGTAGTGCGCAATTTATACTGTCAATCAACCTCAAGATACACCATCTAATGTGAATTTGAATACAAATGTTTGAACATGTACACATCTTCACTCAAAGCTGTTTGAGTCCTCTAAAGTTCTGAGGTGTTTTTTGGCAGTGCCACTTGTCCAGGTTCCTACCTGTTAGAATTACAGACTAGAGAGTTGGAAGTCTCAGGAGATGCATGTTTTTGTTAGTTTTTAGTTCTACCATTTTACAAATACTTAGTGACACAATCTCCTAACTTTTCTTTGGTTTGTCAACCAAAGAAGAGATGAATAGGTCAAGTGCTCACATCCTGAACAGCTAAGAGAAAATAACATACAGTGTCTGTCCTTCAGGAGATGCTAAATAAGATCTCTTGAGAATTTTATTTTGCTATATTTTAGTCTTTTTCACTAGTTTTCAGTGACATCATGGTGTGAATGCTCTATTTGCTATAACTTATTGGTGGCTCCTGTGTAATGTATAGTTTAAAATAATGTTCCAAATTGTTTGTTTTCCCAATGATGACAATAAAATATTCTGTAGAATTTGTAAAAAAAAAAATAAGTGTTAAGTAAAAATTGTGTAATTTTTATTTTACTTGTGATACAATTTTGTAGTTGTTAGTTCTGAGCATACATTTGTATAAGTCAAAATTGTCAGTGTAATTACATTGTATCTTCTTAAAAATCAAACTTATCCTAAAGAAAAAGGGCACATCATGACTAGCCTTAACGCCTTGTCATTTTTGCTTTGTTTTATTTTAGCTTGGTTGAATTGCTGCATTTTGGATTTAAATTATTGGCAAAAAACATATTTCTTCTGAAGATGTCACTGAAGCAATCTTATGAAGTATATGCTTTAGAAAGTTGCTGAGTTATCACAACTTACTGTCCAGCTTGGTCATCAGTTATGCATTTTGAAAGTGTCAAATATCACTTAGTTTATCAACTTCATCATATCCTACAAAACTAAATTCACATTTATTTCCACCAGCTTCAGAACCAGCATCAAAATTCTGACACAGTATTTTGCAAGGGTAGGTCATTTCTACTTTAATGATTAGTCTCCAAGGATGGCCATCTCTTACCCACTGATTTTGAATTTCAGATCATATGAAATAAGATAGTCTGCTTTTGATCTATGAGAAGCACAGATGATCCATTCACATGAGGTGATTCCAATATGGTTCTCTTCTCAACAAAACCAGTAACAATGCTCATCTTTCTCTCTTCCCCATGTGCAACAGGAAACTCCCAATCTGTCTACAAAGGTGGTCACGTTGAAGCAAAACTGTAATCTATTTTAAGCTTAGACTCTATTTATGAACATTGGTTCCTAATTTCTTTCACTCTTGGTGTTTCTTTATAATGGTTACAGTTGCCAATTAAAATGCAGAACAGCATTGAAATTCAAATCTCAAATAAGTAGTATGCTATTGAGTTTCCTATTAGTTCATTAAAAATGCTTATGCTAAAGTCCTTATTTACTTAAGGTTCAATTTTAAGTGAATATGTTCTGCATTACTTCCTTTACGCTGGCATCACTACACATAATTCCTCCAAATCTTTTTCAGCTGGGCTGCTGTGAGCTCTGAGACCACTCTTCCATATCATAACTCATAAAATCTGTAGTTTTGGTCCTTTCATGAAGAAAATATTGTTTCACACTAAGTCCATAGATGAGTTTCAATAATCATCCCCAAAGTCATTTGAAAAATCAAACTTGTATCTTCACTAGATGAAAGCTACTGAATTCAGTTTTTTTCTATAATGGCATGCTGGAGGACTAGATTCTACCTATTATTTCTGGAAATAAGTATTCCCCGGTAATTGAGACAACAAAAAACATGACACACATCAAAACTTCAATTGGAAAGTGGAACTGCCTTCTAACTCAAGATCAGAGCTGCTTCTAAGACTCTGTGTGTTTTCCTTTAAAGAGGAATCCAATGAGCCCATCTTCCTACTCCCTATCATTAATACCTTAAAATTATTTTATGAATTACAAGTATTCATTTATGTAGAAGATTTAAGGAAAGGAACTCTTCAGGGAGGGAGAAAAGAATCCAAGGTAAATACAATCTAGTCCCGAGGCCTTCTTCCCATGTTGGAGGATGATGCTGGGCAGTAGGCGGGGACAGAAAGAGGTCCCTGAGTAAAGCCTGTGCCAGATAAAATTGCTGAAGCAGATTGTATTGAGCAGCTGGTTTTCAGAAACTGAAACTGGAAACCCCTGAATATGAGACATGAGGTCTAAATGTGGTTCTGAAATCAGCTTCCAAAGGCAAGAACCATGCTGGAATTACTAAATAATGTCCAGTGTTTCCAACACAGCATCCTTCATAGTCTGAACACAGATGACGTTCTGGAAGATTCCTGATAGCTACCTCCTCTCTTGAAATTCCTATAAGAAAAATAGGAAAACTAAATCCCATAATATGTTTCCATCACGTGATTGCTGACTGTACATATTTGTGTTGATTTGCTTCATTTCTGGAGAAAGAGAATGTGTAGAGCTGCTGTTTCCTTCATGGACCCTAGGAATTCGCCAGAGGGAGTCAGAACTGTGCCTTCTCTTTTTAGGATCTGTTCACTGATACTTTACTATATGTGCTGTTGTGAAAATCCATACTATAGTCTGTATAGAAGATGTGAGTTTTTATATATATAAAATTGTGTTCTTAATGTAAAGAAAAGTTCATTTGTAGCTAGTGAAATTGCTTAATAAAGTCCTGGTACCAGTTATATTTATTTTTTCTCAAATTTATAATCACACATGCTTTGTTATAAGCAACCAAATGGAACTCTCAAGCTAAATATGATTAAGAACATCTTCAAAAACAAAACCAAAACAGAACCTAACCATCATCACATTAGGATTTCCCTTACAAAAAAAAGTTCCTGTACCAGTAAAGGAAAAGCATTGCACATTTGATTATGTTAAAGGTATGTCTTAATGTTAAATGTAGTTATCTTTTGCTACCATTCCTTGGGTAGTAAATATCAACACAACATATTAATATAACTTATTGATGTTACAGAACATCTCAAACACTGATCACTGGGAAACAAGCATGGAACTGATCCATACTCCATGAATGTGGGTGTCAGTGAGAAGGCCTCAGAAATTGATGGGGCCTCTTGTAGTAGACCAGTACTTATCCCTAGCATAGGAATGGACTTTGGGAGCCCATTCCACATAGATACTCCCTTAGCCTAGACACACAGGGGGAGGGCCTAGGCCCTATTCCAAAGGATATGACAGACTCTGAAGACCCCCCATGGAAGGCCTCACTATCCCTGGGGAGCAGAAATGGTATGGGATAGGTAAGGTGTTAGTGTGGAGCAGGGGAGGAGGGAAGGAAGAGGGAACTGGGATTGACATGTAAAACAATCTTGTTTAAATTTTAAAAATGTAGAGAAAAAAATCTCAAACTAAAAACTGAAGGTGAGGGAAATACTGTATTTGTTTGGGAAATAAAGCTGCCTTTGTGCTTAACCAAATATTTCTAATTATTGGGAGGCTCCAGTTGTGCTTTACTAAAAAAAAAAATCTAAATGCTATAATAGTACCATAAAGGCATCTAACAAACAAATATAGTTGAAAATTTACTTTGTAAACACACTGGTTTTAGTTTAATTTCTATTGCTGTGAAAAGTACCATGAGCAAAAGCAACTCAAAGAAGAGTTTATCTTATAACCCCTAGGTCACAATCTATCACTGAATGAAGTCAGGGAAGGAACTCAAGAGAGGAACCTGGAGACAGGAATTGAAGTCAAAGCTGAAAACATGGAGAAAGGATAAATACCAGCTCCCTCTCTCCATGGCTTGCTCAGCTTGTAATTTTTTTATACCACCTAAGAACATGACCAAAGGTTTCACCTCATATAGTGAGATGGGCGGGCATTCCCATGTCAATCATTAATCAAGGAAATGACCTACATATATACAAGCCAATCTGAATGAGGCATCTTCTTGTATTTGTTTTTGTGTTGTAGTTGTTATCTTTGAGACAAGGTCTCATACATAGGCTTGGGTGGTCTGGTACTCACTATGAAGACCAGGTTATCCTAAAAGTCACAAAGATCATCCTGTCTCTGCCTCCCAGAGGGCTGGGGTTAAAGGCAAGCATTATCACTACTGACTCTAAGGACAGGTACTTAATGTTTCTCTTCTCAAATAACTCTAGTTTATGTCAAGTTAACAAAACCCACCTGGGACAGCACCCAAGACTGGATGTTATATATATTGTAGGTTCATGACATCAAAAGATATCTACATATAAAGCTGTGATGATCCCCAAATTTAGGAAATATCAGTGTTCTACAAATAGTCTTTGACTACATGATTACAACTATGCTTCCTTGGCAGAACATTTCAATAGCTTTGTTCAGCAAATATTTATCCTACTACATGACAGGCTCCTGCTAAGCAAAGCAAAATATTTCTAATAAGTTCCTTGGAGAACTTGATAAAGTATGTATTTTATAGATTCTCATAAGATTTAACAAGTACATAATTTTACTCCCCAAACAAGCAAATAAACATGCTCAATGACCTTTTCTAAGTATTATTTCTAGAGAGTAAAATGTTCAAACATAGGTATGTTATCCTGAGAACCAGGAAAGAAGCTACCTTTCTTAATTTTTGTGGGGTTTTTTTTACCTCTTTTTTAAAAATTTAAATTAGAAACAAGCTTATTTTACATGTCAATCCCAGTTCCCTCTCCCTCCCCTCCTCCCCTGCCCCCCATGACCCCCTATCCCATCCCCTTTCTGCTCCCCAGGGAGGATGAGGCCTCCCATGAGGGATCATCAAAGTCTGACACATCATTTGGGTCCACATCATGGACCTAGGCCCTCCCCCATGTGTCTAGGCTGAAAGAGTATCCCTCTATGTGGAGTGGGCTCCCAAAGTCCATTTGTGTACTAGGGATAAATACTGATCCACTACCAGAGGCCCCACAGATTGCCCAGTCCTCCAAATTCTAAACAAATATGATAGGAATAAGTTAGTTATGGCAACAGTAAATAAGAGCAGCTCATGATCACAACCGTACACACTCGGCCACTGTGACAGCCAGGGGTGGAGAACGCTAAAGGAGAAACAATATGCTCCACACCTTGCCCTCAACTACCTATTGTCCTCTATTCCTTGCCCTCCATTACCTTTTGCCTTCCTCTACTCATCATCCTTCCTCTCTCCTTGTCCTTCCTTTTCTGTCCTATAACCCTTGCACTCCCTTACCCCCCTTCTCCCCTGCACTTCTTCCTTCCTCTAGCCCCGTTGCTTCCCCCTTCACCTAATTCTCCTCTACTATCTGCCCTCCTCTCCAACCTTCCCTCCTCTATTCTTTCCCCACTCCCATCACTTACACTCTTCACTACCCCTTGTCATCCCTCTACACTTTGTCCTCCCTCTACCCTGTCCCCCCTCTATCCCTGTCCTCCTCTATCCCTTGTCCTCTCTCTACCACTTGCCACCTCAACACTTTGCCCTTCCTTTTCTCACTTTTAAGCTTCAAATGAAGCTGCTTACAGTGCACAGAGCCTGACGAGTCACCAATGTGACTTCTATACTTCTGTCAGCAAACCCATCTTATAAAAAAGTATATCTACTTCTTAAGGGCCAAAACGAAGGGCCGGCTGGGATCAAAGCAATAAAAACATCATCTGGAGTCAGGGAATGTACTTTCTTTTTGATGGAAAGATGTGTTATAGAGGAGTAGAAGATTTTAACTTTGGTTTTGAACTTGAAGTTCAAGTGTGCCCTTTGTAAGGATCCCTAATAGTGGCCCCAGGAGAATTAGGTAACAAGAAATGCCTGGTGCAATGGGATACCGGTTATCACATCTGTTATTCAATCCTGTGGTTAAAAGTTTTCCTTGAAATATATTGATTTATTATGCAAAAGTGAATCACAGTAAAATGACATTGAATTCCAGAAAATGTGACTTAGTGTCGTAAGTAACAGGAAAGGAAGGTGGTTAAGAGCCCTGATATTAAACTTCTTCAACTATATAAAATAAGCACGTTTTCCTCTGTGGAATGTGGAGTCTGACCACCTGGGGTTTCACTAAGAAACAATTTAAAAAGCCTTAACTTCGACACAACTGTTTAAATATTATTAAGTAATGATCTCTTAGGTTAAGCAATAGCAACAACGAAAATCTTTTATGTAAGAAAATTAAAATCACAACTTCACTATGTTTATATTCCCAGGACACAATAGGCATTGAAATACCTTTGAAAACAATTAAAATGAAATTGTTAGTTGTGACTCAATCAAACCCAGACAAGTGCCATATAAAGGCCGCATTTGTGCTAAGAGCTCATAGGTGGCAGTGAGGGCTGAAAATGAAGGAGGCAGTAGCCTTCATGTCTGGTTCCCTTTGAGGAGTACTGAGAATTTAGGGGTGATTTCAGAGGAAATATATCAAATGGTATTGTTTGAAGTCTCCAAAACCCCATTTCTTAACCGTGACCTTCATTATAAACCTCTGTGAAGATTATCCATCTAAGATTACTTCATTTATAATGTAGCTATATTGGAGGCACTAAAAGTAGGGAGATCAGAATTTTGAATTATAAGAAAATTTCTTGTTAAAATTCTCTATCCCTCACTTTTCTGTGAGTACAGAAATGAGGCCGCATGAATGTTAAGTACAATTCTACTGACTCTTGCTTCCATACAACACTGCTGTTCTTACCATAGGAGTTCATGGTGTTTCCTTTCTGTTTAGTAGGAGCCTCCATGGCCACTGTAGGCTACTGGCTACTGACGACTTTTATGCCTTGATGACCTCTGAAGTCTCCCATCTCTACTCTTTCTCAACAAGGCCCAGAAACCTGTTAGTGGACATTACCTGCACCCAGCTAGGCATCAAAAAGAAAGTAGAGAAATACATCTGTCACAGAGATGGGTAGCCTGTGGCCAGATTCAACTCTTCCCCATTTATAAGACACCCTAATGAAGGGGCTTCAAGATCCTTACATCTTAATAATTATCCAAGATTAGAGAGACAGCTTTGCTTTTAGATAGCCATTTCTTTGTGTCTTTGTCTTTCTCTCTATGGATTGGGTATAGGACATAGGCAAGTGAGATGGATAATCAAGTAAAGGTGAATGTCACCAGGATGGAGGACATGAACTTGATCTCCAGGACCTATGTGGTAGAAGGAAAGGGGAGAGACAGCTACCACACGTTGTCCTCTGATTTCCACACACACATCATGGCATGCCTGTGCCCACTCAGTCTCCCTCAAACAAAACTTATTCTCAATGAGCTCATTCACAACGAAGTATTGTTTTATTTAATATAACAGTTGTTCAAGTGGTATATTTTACTTTAAAAGAAGATTTGCAGGAAAACGAAATGCAACACAGTATACTGAAGGATGACCTGCCTCTACGTTCTCTAAGAAGCCCCATGGAAACCTCTGGGATACCCAGAAAGTACAGCTCAAATTTTACTGTACATGTGCTTCCCTAGTGATCTTAATTAAGTGTAAATTTCAATTAACCAAGCTAGCAATACATTCCTAGACACCAATTCTAAAAAAGCTCCTACTGATACAGAAGGTACCAGCTGTGGCATCCAGTTTCCCAGACATCTGTCTCTGGGTAGCTATGCTATGGAGCCCAGCTCCATCAGACAAACTTTGAGATAAATAAATGGCCAGATCATTGGTTATTAAATTAATCTGAATGGAGAAATTACAATGGG